TGCTCTATATACTATACCTTGAAATGTAAGTATAATATTTATATTCCACATGATTTATTTTATAATCATATGGTAAAAATGAGAAAGTAAGCAATTTTTCAGTAATATTGTGCTGTGGCACTTTTCTATTTTTATGTCTGATTGTGTAAGCAAGTAGTTTCTAAGTGAGGTGTACCTTGGGGGTACGCAACACAATTTGGACTCCTGAAAGGGGTACAGTAGTCTGGAAAGGTTGAAAACCACTGAGCGAGGTGGTTACCGGTCATTGCATTTAGACAGTGGCAGATCCTACTGTGACACACACATTTGAAGACTGAAGGAGGGGTCTCCACAAATTAGCCTCCCTTTTGGATAGAGGCTCCATGTGTCTCAAACTGTGTCTTTGACATTATAGGTTGCACGTACCAGCAAGTATCAAATGTTTAAATTCATTTTCCTTTCTTTGTATCTTCCATACAACATATTGGGCCAAATTGTGCTCACAGTTACACCAGTGTAAATCCAGAATAGCTTCACTGAGATAGACATGGTTGCTCTGGTTTGCAGTAGTGTGACTGAGAGCAAAATTTAACTCATAATGCACAGAGTTTTCATTTCATTTTTAGTATCTAGGTCTCACCATGAAATCTGATATTTTCACTTTGACAAACTCATCAGATGTGTCAACTTTTGCCCCATGATTAACGCAGGACTCTCCTCACAGCAGAGTGACCGGCAGAAGGAAACTAACCAGACAGTCTGAATGATGACTGAGAGGGAATGAAATAAGCCTTCTCTGGGACAATGTTTTTTCCTGCTTCTGGAAGTTCCTCCTGTTTTCACACTGACTTCTGCATCCGGTACTTTACCAGGATCCTCTTTCACATCAAAGCATCTCTCCCCAGGCTGCACATGCAGGGGCACAACCTTAATTTCCATGGGAAAGAATCTTATCCCAAAGGAAAGGGAAAGAAATGTTTGGTTTAGCTACATTTAACATTCCCCCTTCTGCATAAGGCTTTTTCTCTGTTATTACACTCTCTCTGGTCCCTTGAGGGTAACAGCACATTCTTTACAGCATTCAGGCCCGGCTCTCTGTTGAGGTGTTTGAAAAAGGCTATGAGGAATTTTTCTCCCATTCAGTTTCAATAATGCAAACACCTAGCAGAAAGCATGCTAAAGTCACTGGGCCAAATTCATTCTTGCTAGTGAGCTTACACCCAGGATGAGTTTGGCCCATTTTTCAATCATTCAAAGGAACTCTGCTGCAGACAAAATGGAACTCGGTCCTCTCTCCCTGTGTCCGAAGCAGCCCAGGAAGAGCCAGTGGGTGGCAGATACCGTTGCTGTGACTTAGGGTATGTCTACACTACGGAATAAGGTCGAATTTATAGAAGTCGGTTTTTTAGAAATCGGTTTTATATATTCGAGTGTGTGTGTCCCCACAGAAAATGCTCTAAGTGCATTAAGTGCATTAACTCGGCGGAGTGCTTCCACAGTACCGAGGCTAGAGTCGACTTCCGGAGCGTTGCACTGTGGGTAGCTATCCCACAGTTCCCGCAGTCTCCGCTGCCCATTGGAATTCTGGGTTGAGATCCCAATGCCTGATGGGGCTAAAACATTGTCGCGGGTGGTTCTGGGTACATATCGTCAGGCCCCCGTTCCCTCCCTCCCTCCGTGAAAGCAAGGGCAGACAATCATTTCGCGCCTTTTTTCCTGAGTTACCTGTGCAGACGCCATACCACTGCAAGCATGGAGCCCGCTCAGGTAACCGTCACCCTATGTCTCCTGGGTGCTGGCAGACGCGGTATGGCATTGCTACACAGTAGCAGCAACCCCTTGCCTTGTGGCAGCAGACAGTACAGTACGACTGGTAGCCGTCATCGTCATGTCCGAGGTGCTCCTGGCCACGTCGGCTGGGAGCGCCTGGGCAGACATGGGTGCAGGGACTAAATTTGGAGTGACTTGACCAGGTCATTCTCTTTAGTCCTGCAGTCAGTCCTATTGAACCGTCTTACGGTGAGCGGGCAGGCGATACGGACTGCTAGCAGTCGTACTGTACCATCTTCTGCCGAGCAGCCATGAGATGTGGATGGCATGCAGTCCTTCTGCACCGTCTGCTGCCAGCCAAAGATGTAAAAGATAGATGGAGTGGATCAAAACAAGAAATAGACCAGATTTGTTTTGTACTCATTTGCTTCCCCTCGTCCCCTGTCTAGGGGACTCATTCTTCTAGATCACACTGCAGTCACTCACAGAGAAGGTGCAGCAAGGTAAATCTAGCCATGTATCAATCAGAGGCCAGGCTAACCTTCTTGTTCCAATAAGGACAATAACTTAGGTGCACCATTTCTTATTGGAACCCTCCGTGAAGTCCTGCCTGAAATACTCCTTGATGTAAAGCCACCCCCTTTGTTGATTTTAGCTCCCTGAAGCCAACCCTGTAAGCGCCCCTCCCGGCGTCAGAGCAACGGCAAACAATCGGGCATCTGAGAGTGCTGTCCAGAGCAGTCACAATGGAGCACTCTGATGGGGCTAAAACATTGTCGCGGGTGGTTCTGGGTACATATCATCAGGCCCCCGTTCCCTCCCTCCCTCCGTGAAAGCAAGGGCAGACAATCATTTCGCGCCTTTTTTCCTGAGTTACCTGTGCAGACGCCATACCACGGCAAGCATGGAGCCCGCTCAGGTAACAGTCACCGATGTCTCCTGGGTGCTGGCAGACGCGGTACGGCTTTGCTGCACAGTAGCAGCAACCCATTGCCTTCTGGCAGCAGACGGTGCAATACGACTGGTAGTCGTCCTCGTCGTGTCCGAGGTGCTCCTGGCCACATCGGCTGGGAGCACCTGGGCAGACATGGGCGCAGGGACTAAATTTGGAGTGACTTGACCAGGTCATTCTCTTTAGTCCTGCAGTCAGTCCTATTGAACCGTCTTATGGTGAGCGGGCAGGCGATACGGACTGCTAGCAGTCGTACTGTACCATCTTCTGCCAGGCAGGCAAGAGATGAGGATTGCTAGCAGTCGTATTGTACCATCTTCTGCCAGGCAGGCAAGAGATGAAGATGGCTAGCAGTCGTACTGTACCATCTTCTGCCGAGCAGCCATGAGATGTGGATGGCATGCAGTCCTTCTGCACCGTCTGCTGCCAGCCAAAGATGTAAAAGATAGATGGAGTGGGTCAGAACAAGAAATAGACCAGATTTGTTTTGTACTCATTTGCCTCCTCCCCTGTCTAGGGGACTCATTCCTCTAGATCACACTGCAGTCACTCACAGAGAAGGTGCAGCGAGGTAAATCTAGCCATGTATCAATCAGAGGCCAGGCTAACCTCCTTGTTCCAATAAGAACGATAACTTAGGTGCACCATTTCTTATTGGAACCCTCCGTGCAGTTCTGCCTGAAATACTCCTTGATGTACAGGCACCCCCTTTGTTGATTTTAGCTCCCTGAAGCCAACCCTGTAAGCCGTGTCGTCAGTCGCCCCTCCCTCCGTCAGAGCAACGGCAGACAATCGTTCCGCGCCTTTTTTCTGTGCGGACGCCATACCAAGGCAAGCATGGAGGCCGCTCAGCTCACTTTGGCAATTAGGAGCACATTAAACACCACACGCATTATCCAGCAGTATATGCAGCACCAGAACCTGGCAAAGCGATACCGGGCGAGGAGGCGACGTCAGCGCGGTCACGTGAGTGATCAGGACATGGACACAGATTTCTCTGAAAGCATGGGCCCTGCCAATGCATGCATCATAGTGCTAATGGGGCAGGTTCATGCTGTGGAACGCCGATTCTGGGCTCGGGAAACAAGCACAGACTGGTGGGACCGCATAGTGTTGCAGGTATGGGACGATTCCCAGTGGCTGCGAAACTTTCGCATGCATAAGGGCACTTTCATGGAACTTTGTGACTTGCTTTCCCCTGCCCTGAAGCGCATGAATACCAAGATGAGAGCAGCCCTCACAGTTGAGAAGCGAGTGGCGATAGCCCTGTGGAAGCTTGGAACGCCAGACAGCTACCGGTCAGTTGGGAATCAATTTGGAGTGGGCAAATCTACTGTGGGGGCTGCTGTGATGCAAGTAGCCCACGCAATCAAAGATCTGCTGATATCAAGGGTAGTGACCCTGGGAAATGTGCAGGTCATAGTGGATGGCTTTGCTGCAATGGGATTCCCTAACTGTGGTGGGGCTATAGACGGAACCCATATCCCTATCTTGGCACCGGAGCACCAAGCCGCCGAGTACATAAACCACAAGGGGTACTTTTCGATAGTGCTGCAAGCTCTGGTGGATCACAAGGGACGTTTCACAACATCAACGTGGGATGGCCGGGAAAGGTGCATGATGCTCGCATCTTCAGGAACTCTGGTCTGTTTCAAAAGCTGCAGGAAGGGACTTTATTCCCAGACCAGAAAATAACTGTTGGGGATGTTGAAATGCCTATATGTATCCTTGGGGACCCAGCCTACCCCTTAATGCCATGGCTCATGAAGCCGTACACAGGCAGCCTGGACAGTAGTCAGGAGCTGTTCGACTACAGGCTGAGCAAGTGCAGAACGGTGGTAGAATGTGCATTTGGACGTTTAAAGGCGCGCTGGCGCAGTTTACTGACTCGCTTAGACCTCAGCGAAACCAATATTCCCACTGTTATTACTGCTTGCTGTGTGCTCCACAATATCTGTGAGAGTAAGGGGGAGACGTTTATGGCGGGGTGGGAGGTTGAGGCAAATCGCCTGGCTGCTGGTTACACGCAGCCAGACACCAGGGCGGTTAGAAGAGCACAGGAGGGTGCGGTACGCATCAGAGAAGCTTTGAAAACCAGTTTCATGACTGGCCAGGCTACGGTGTGAAAGTTCTGTTTGTTTCTCCTTGATGAAACCCCCCGCCCCTTGGTTCACTCTACTTCCCTGTAAGCTAACCACCCGCCCCTCCTCCCTTCAATCACCGCTTGCAGAGGCAATAAAGTCATTGTTGCTTCACATTCATGCATTCTTTATTCATTCATCACACAAATAGGGGGATGACTACCAAGGTAGCCCAGGAGGGGTGGTGGAGGAGGGAAGGAAAATGCCACACAGCACTTTAAGCACAGCACTTTAAAAGTTTACAACTTTAAAATTTATTGAATGACAGCCTTCTTTTTTTTTGGGCAATCCTCTGTGGTGGAGTGGCTGGTTGGCCGGAGGCCCCCCACCGCGTTCTTGGGCGTCTGGGTGTGGAGGCTATGGAACTTGGGGAGGAGGGCGGTTGGTTACAGAGGGGCAGCAGTGGCAGTCTGTGCTCCAGCTGCCTTTGCTGCAGCTCAACCATACACTGGAGCATACTGGTTTGGTCCTGCAGCAGCCTCAGCATTGAATCCTGCCTCCTCTCATCACGCTGCCGCCACATTTGAGCTTCAGCCCTGTCTTCAGCCCGCCACTTACTCTCTTCAGCCCGCCACTTACTCTCTTCAGCCTGCCACCTCTCCTCCCGGTCATTTTGTGCTTTCCTGCACTCTGACATTATTTGCCTCCACGCATTCGTCTGTGCTCTGTCAGTGTGGGAGGACAGCATGAGCTCGGAGAACATTTCATCGCGAGTGCGTTTTTTTTTCTTTCTAATCTTCACTAGCCTCTGGGAAGGAGAAGATCCTGTGATCATTGAAACACATGCAGCTGGTGGAGAAAAAAAAAGGGACAGCGGTATTTAAAAAGACACATTTTATAAAACAGTGGCTACAATCTTTCAGGGTAAACCTTGCTGTTAACATTACATACATAGCACATGTGCTTTCGTTTCAAGGTCGCATTTTGCCTCCTCCCACCGCGTGACTACCCCCTCAACCTTCCCCCCTCCCTGTGGCTAACAGCGGGGAACATTTCTGTTTAGCCACAGGCAAACAGCCCAGCAGGAATGGGCTCCTCTGAGTGTCCCCTGAAGAAAAGCACTCTATTTCAACCAGGTGACCATGAATTATATCTCACTCTCCTGAGGATAACACAGAGAGATAAAGAACGGATGTTGTTTGAATGCCAGCAAACATACACTGCAATGCTGTGTTCTACAATGTTTCCCGAGTACGTGTTACTGGCCTGGAGTGGTAAAGTGTCCTACCATGAAGGACGCAATAAGGCTGCCCTCCCCAGAAACCTTTTGCAAAGGCTTTAGGACTACATCTAGGAGAACCGCAAATGCCAGGGCAAAGTAATCCTTTCACATGCTTGCTTTTAAACCATGTATAGTATTTTAAAAGGTACACTCACCAGAGGTCCCTTCTCCGCCTGCTGGGTCCAGGAGGCAGCCTTGGGTGGGTTCGGGGGGTACTGGCTCCAAGTCTAGGGTGAGAAACAGTTCCTGGCTGTCGGGAAAACCGGTTTCTCCGCTTGCTTGCTGTGAGCTATCTACAACCTCCTCATCATCATCATCTTCTTCGTCCCCAAAACCTGCTTCCGTATTGCCTCCATCTCCATTGAAGGAGTCAAACAACACGGCTGGGGTAGTGGTGGCTGAACCCCCTAAAATGGCATGCAGCTCATCATAGAAGCGGCATATTTGGGGCTCTGACCCAGAGCGGCTGTTCGCCTCTCTGGTTTTCTGGTAGGCTTGCCTCAGCTCCTTCAGTTTCACGCGGCACTGCTTCGGGTCCCTGTTATGGCCTCTGTCCTTCATGCCCTGGGAGATTTTCACAAAGGTTTTGGCATTTTGAAAACTGGAACGGAGTTCTGATAGCACGGATTCCTCTCCCCAAACAGCGATCAGATCCCGTACCTCCCGTTCGGTCCATGCTGGAGCTCTTTTGCGATTCTGGGACTCCATCATGGTCACCTGTGCTGATGAGCTCTGCATGGTCACCTGCAGCTTGCCATGCTGGCCAAACAGGAAATGAGATTCAAAAGTTCGCGGTTCTTTTCCTGTCTACCTGGCCAGTGCATCTGAGTTGAGAGTGCTGTCCAGAGCGGTCAGAATGGAGCACTCTGGGATAGCTCCCGGAGGCCAATACCATCGAATTGTGTCCACAGTACCCCAAGTTCGAGCCGGCAACGTCGATTTAAGCGCTAATCCACTTGTCAGGGGTGGAGTAAGGAAATCGATTTTAAGAGCCCTTTAAGTCGAAATAAAGGGCTTCATTGTGTGGACGGGTGCAGGTTTACATCGATTTAACGCTGCTAAATTCGACCTAAAGTCCTCGTGTAGACCAGGGCTTAGCCAAGTGACTGCAGACACTGGGGTCAATAAGTTCAAGTGAAGTACTGCAGTCAAGGAAGGTCCTGGGCAATAGGCTATAATCTGAGATGAGCTATGGTTGAGATTATGTTTCCCTGGGCAACTCACAGGACCTCAGTCAGCCCACAGAAAGGCAAGAAATCTTTGGAAACTAGAGTCTGCATCCTGCTTGAGCTTTTCTGAGTAAATTACAAACAAAAATCACAAGTTTATTCATAGATTTCAAGGCCAGAAGGGACTACTTTGATCATCTAGTTCAGTGGTTCTCAAACTTTTGTACTGGTAACCCCTTTCACACAGCAAGCCTCTGAGTGCGACCCCCCCCATATAAATTAAAAACACTTTTTTATATATTTAACAGCATTATAAATTCTGGATGCAAAGCGGGGTTTGGGGTGCAGATTGACAGCTCACGACCTCCCATATAATAACCTCGTGACCCCCTGAGGGGTCCCGACCCTCAGTTTGAGAACCCCTGATTTAGTTTGACCTCCTGTATAACACAGGCCATAAAACTCCCTACCATCACCAAAAAAAAATTCCTAGAGCATATTTTTTAGAAAAACATCCAATCTTGATTTTAAAAATGTCAGCAATGGAGAATCCACCATGACCAGTGTTCCCTCTAATTTTTGACAGGCCATGTGTGCAAAAAATTTCTTCTGTGCAAATTTTTGACAGACCCTGTGCGCAAAAAATTTCTTCTGTGCAAATTGTTGTGCTTCTGTGCAAATTTTTGTGTGTGTGGTATTTCGCCGTGTGCGTGGGGTTTAGGATCTGTGTGCACGCGCCCACACGCACAGCTTAAAGGGAACAGTGACCATGACTCTTGGTAAATTGTTCCAAAGGTTAAATTACTCTCACCATTAAAGATTTACGCCTTATTTCCCGTCTGAATTTGTCTAGCGCCGACTTCCAGCTATTGGATTGTTTTTTACATTTCTCTGTTAAATTGAAGAGATGATTATTAAATATTTGTACTCCGTGTAAGTACTTATAGACTGTAATTGTCACCCCTTAACTTTCTTTTTGTTAAGCTAAATAGACTCAGAGATGGTTCCCCATTTTCATTTCATTTTGAGACCTATCAGTTAGCCAGTCTTTAATCCATTTAAAGTGTGCCTGTTAATTTGATATAATTCTAATTTTTAATCAAAATATCATATGGTACCAAGTCAAATGCCTTACAGAAGTCTAAGTATATTACATCAACACTGTTACCTTTATCAGCCAAACTTGTAATCTCATTAAAAAATAAAAAAAAGATATCAGGTTAGTTTGACAGAACATAAACCCATTCTGATTTGCATTAATTATGTTACCCTCCTTTAATTCTTTATTAATCAATTCCCATATCAGCTGCTCCACTATTTTGCCCAGGATCGATGTCAGGCTGACAAGCCTATAATCACCCAGGTCATCATTATTAATAGCAGAGGAGACCACTTCTGATTCAGATATCATAAAAATCATAGAAATGTAGGTCTGGAAACGTCCTCAAGAAGTCATCTGTTCCAGCCCCCTGCACTGAGGTAGGATCAAGTATATTTAGAGCATCCCTGACAGGTATTTGTCTAACTTGTTCTTAAAAGCCTCCAGTGACAGAGATTCCAAGACCCTCACTTGGAAGCCTATTTCAAAACTTAACTGTCCTTTATACTTAGAAAGTTTTTCCTAACATCTAATCTCAATCCCCCTTGCCACAGACTGAGCACATTACTTCTTGTCCTACCTTCAGTAGACATGGAGAACAATTGATCACCATCTTTTTATAACAGTCCTTAACATATTTGAAGACCGTTATCAGGTACTTCCTCCGTCTTTTATCAAGCCTAAACATGCCAAATTTTTCTAACCTTTCCTCATAGGTCAGGTTTTCTAAACTTTTTATAATTTTTGTTTCCTCTGCATCTTCTCCAATTTCTTCACATCTTTCTTAAAGTTTGGTGCCCAGAACTGGACACAGTACTCCAGTTGAGGCCTTACCAGTGCCAAGTAGAGTGGGACAATTACCTCTCGTCTCATATACGACATCCTGTTAATATATCCTAGAATATTAGTCTTTTTTGCAAGTGCCTCTCATTGTTGTTTCATATTCAGTTTGTGAGCCACTCTGCCCCCCAGATCCTCTTCAGCAGTACTACCACCTAGCCAGTTATTCCCCGTTTTGTAGTTGTGCATTTGATTTTTTCCTTCCTAAGTGTAGTACTTTGCACTTGTCTTTACTGAATTTCATCCTGTTGATTTCAGATCAAGTCTCCAATTTGTCAAGGTTGTTTTGAATTCTACGGCTAATTCTTCTGGCTATTGCAAAACTACAGGCAGGATGGGGTTTTCACAAACACTCACTGTCTGCTCTCACTGAAGTCAATAATAAAACTCCCATTTACTTTAATAGAAGCAGAGTTATGCCAAGACTGAGTGCTTTTGAAAATCCTATGAGCAGTGTGTTCTTGTCCTAACATGACCAGTCCACTCACCCCAGATGTCAATACAACATAGTTGTTTTGTTTGCCCAATCCTTAACTGTTTTTTGGTCCCCGGGCTTTTTTCCTTCTGCATCTGCTGCCTTCCGTTTCCTTCTACCCCAGACTCTTTGATTCTATCTGGCGGTGTACGTGGGCTGGGTAAGTCTTTTTGATTATTGTTAAGGTTTTGTATTTTGGCTTTGATTGCAGTGTTTTGAGATGCATGCTCAGGTCCCATTGAAAACTTCATTAGGAATTCTGCCTGATGAAAGACCACAGCATCAGGCCATAAATAGTTAAATAAACAAATAACTAACAGGAAGTGAGAAAAGTTTAAAATTTGGTGCCTCAGTGATCTGACTGGAACATATATGTAAGCATTTTGTAAAGGGGACACCGCAATTAGTGAAGAGCAATATGGGAAGCCACTTCCCTTGTGCCATTTGTCTTTGTCATTTTTTTTTCAAGAAGTACCACTGCAAAGTAAACTGACATTGTTAGGGACAGAGTGCCCAGCAGAGTTGAGTATGAGGGATATGAAAGATGCCCTTTGAGCAACCCTGTTCCTGAGGCTGTGCTGTTGTGCCAGTTCCTTGCCACAGTTTCCAATAGCCCCAAGGAACAGTTCTGAAAGTCAGGGGAAGAGGAGTTCTGGGAAGCCCCAGCCATGCCCTACTCTTATTCAGCCACATCCCATAGGTTTGAGCCATGAAGGGGGTGGCATAAGAAATGTACAGTGGCTGCATCCCCTGGAGATGCCTTTATATAGAGGAGATCCTCTGGGGTCTGGATCCACCAGAATTAGGGTGGCTTTTTGGGCCAATGGAGTGGTGCAATGTGGCTGAAGCTCCTGTTTAGGATGGTCTGCAGCTGAAAACTGCTTAAGGTAAGTGCAGCCATGTGAGTCGTTTACACATGGTTCTAAATGAGGGGATTTTGAGAGAGAAAGTGGGTGGGTAAATCAGTTGTCAGGATCCTACCCATCCAGTAGAGGTCACCAGGGTCCCATTTTAATGATGGAAAAAAATAAAATCTTTTCTGCAGAACACCTCTGCATTGAGTTGACTTTGAAGGAAATCTTTTTGGGAATAGCACCGGTTTGACACAGCACTGAAAGTAGAATTGATGTTTCCTGTTTAGTACAAGCTTATGCTTCTTTTTGTAAAGTTCAGTCTCTTAGCTTTTCTCAACATGACCGATGCAAGAAAATCCTTCCCACAGGAGCTATCGTTTCAGACTTCCTCTTCCTGGACTTGGAAGAACCCACTGCAGCTTATACCATTGGTATTTTAGAAAACCCAATTTGCAATCCAGTCTTTCCAACAAACATAGCCACATGAGCTATGTGATAGGTGACCATGGTATCATGCATTGGACCGAATATTCTGTGCCCTGACTGCCACCTTCAGGATGCAGTGAAATCAAGTTAGCCTTGTGCCGATGTACCAGACTCTTCAGTTCATCTCAACAGCTGGTGTCATGGTTTGTTTTGCTGTTCTGCTTACAAAATGATAGCTGTTAGGATTTCAGAGATGGACTGAGGTTTTCACTGATAAACTTTGATGTAGGCAAAATGCCCATTGGTGCAGCCAGTTGATGGGTAAAGGTGAAAAGCTGGAAGTGCAGATAAAAACAGGAGCAGATTGAAAAAGCTGCTTAGACACGAAGGTGTCCAGATGTTCTGATTTTATAGGGAGAGTCCTGATTTTTGGGTGTTTTTCTTATATAGGCTCCTATTACCTCCTACCCCCTGTCCCGATTTTTCACCATTGCTATCTGGTCACCCTATTAGACACCTAGCAAATTGCAAGAGTTAAACAGTCAAATGATATAGTAGATGAACAGGGAATGTTTGGAAAATTGATTTCCATATTGCTGTTATCTTGAAAAAAAATTTCATAAAAAAACCTAATAATTAGTTATTAATGATTATCTCAACTGAGTAGATGGGACAAAAGTTAACAGGTATGAGGTTGTACCTGTATATGTAAAACCTTGACGTACACTCGGGCCCTGATCCAAAGCCCACTGATGTCAATAGAAATTCTCTCATTGACTTCAGTGAGCCTTGGCTCAAGGCTCTCAAATCAGGCCCTCCCCGAATAATGCGCAGCCAGATTGTGGGTTGCAGTGTGCAGGTGAAAGTCCTCCTCAACTGGTCATTCTTTTATATTCTGGAATAACTGCAACCCATGGCTAATTTTCAGGGGTGGCCCCAAATAAAGGCCAACTCATAAGTCTAGTCTAGGAGCCACTAAAGGAGTGGATTGCTGTAGCAGGGTCAACAGCCAGAAGAGAAAGGTTGCCAGCTGCACAATATGTCAAGAAGACACTGCTTTGAATTTGGCCCAGGCTGGTAGTAACTGAAAGTCATTACCATTTGAAGGCTGCTTGGTGGTCCATGTGAAATACATTTCAGTTCTTAGTTGACAGGTGTCCGTGTAATAAAGCTGCTAGTAGTATCACAGCTGCTGGCACTCATTAGCCCCTTTATTGGCAGTCTCAGAAGAGAGGCCAAGAATCAAATGGGCCTGGAGACCTCTTATGCATAGAGAATGCCAATCCAGATCAGAATTGAGAGGAATATGGCGAAGGTGGTGCTGCCTAGATATAGCTGGTCTGTGTCTAAATAGAGAATGCAAGTTTCTGCTGCTGTCAGTTCATTACCTTTCACCAGTATTTTAATTTTAAAAAAATTCGAGACACATTTTAAAAAAAATTGAATTAAAGAAAAAGTGAATTCTGCCAAACTATGAGCTCCCACTCAAAAATAACTTCCCAGGAGCTAATATTATCAACCTACTTAGGGAATAATCCATTATCAGATAAAGCCAGAACTGAACAAGCAAGATTCTCCTTTATTATGAAATCCCCCTTTATCTTGACTTCCTCCCCAGCTCCAAATGCTCATTGACATGCCCCCTGATTTTAGCCCCCTTTGCACCTCTATGTTTTTCCACCAGCATGTCAACCTGCTCTAAGGGTATTTTCCTTCTCGGAGCTAAAGTCTGCAATGTGACTAGAAGAAGGCAAACAGAAATGGCTTCAATCACTCACAGTGCTTAAAAATTCATAATCATTTCTATAGCTAAAGGCAGAAAAGCTAATTATTTACTGTCCCAACCAGTCTCATCACCTCCCGGGAGAATGTGCTACTGAGAAGCTGTACTGATACATCTGCAGGAGGGAACGCTCAGAGCTGGAACCCAAGTGTATCGGGCAGCGTCACTGGTGGGGATGTTTTCAGCTTTGAACAGAAGTGCTGTAGCAGGTTAACTGTAAAGTCGATGAGCTCAGCCACTAGGGAGAGGGGAGAAGGCAGCGCCTCGCGTTGCTCTCTAGTGAGCCTTCTGGCCATTTTGGAAGTGGCATAAACTGTAGGGATGGATTATTAAAACTAAGGGGGGTATTAAACCACAACTTATGCGGGGTGGGAAGTAAACAGGCTGCTCTGGTGCAGAAGCTCCAGAGGAATTCCCTGATTCCACTTATCCAGCCCCACAAACAAATTCTTTCCCCGCCCTCTTCCCAGACAGACTCATGCTCTTTGTCTCTTGCCCCACAAACAATATTCTGAACTTGTCCATATCAGTGAAAATAAACATGAACATTCACAGAGGCAGCTTATACTGGTGGGTACATTTCTATCCTTGGGAAAGTCCTGTGCATTTGTTTTCACTGAGAGAATTTGGTGCTGCATCCAAAAAAGACTGATAGGAACTAATAATTAAATAAACTATTACAGAGATATAGTGTACCTGTCACTGAGAGTGACTGCAGGCAGGGAATAATGGCAGGACTCTTCCCTTGGAAATGAATGTGACTAGTGACTTTCTCCTGAAAGGAAGGCCTTTATTCCCGTGGTCCTCTGCCTCCTTCCTCCTTGGACAGCACACAGACATACACAAGGCACAACTTAAAAGTGTGTCGGTAATGTGAGTGATGCAGGAGGAGGATGATATTTGAGTGGTGGCAGTATGTCACACATATGGCCAGCATTGCAGATTCCTTGTTTTTCAAGATGAAAGGGTCATTTTCAAAGTGTGTTAAAAGAGAATTGGTGCTGAAGGCAATGAACAGAATCGGTTGAGTTGTAATTACTTTTTCATCCTGTACTGCCCTCTGTTGATGATGACTTCAACTGCAGGGAAAAATCTGAGTTGCCCTTATCCACTGTGATTAATAAGAATAATTTTATACTGCTATTTTCTACATTCAGCTATCTCACAATTTAACCCCTACCCTGCCTCCCAATCACAAACTGCAGTTGTTGTCAGAGATTTTCAGTTCAAAAACTATTTTTGACTTGTCAAGCTTAAAAGTATCAATGCTGATCTGATTAGACCCCTACTGTGTGCAAGTTCAGTAAGTGAAGGCAGAGTTTTGACGAAGAGAGGAGGAAAGTTCATATTTTTTTCAAACTGGTTTTCATATCCCTAGCTTGTTTCTTATTTGCCTATTGCTATTTCTAAATCATCCTGTTTCTGATGCAGCTAGAGTTTGGCAGGTTTCCCTGTGTATAGGTACATTATTTCTGCCTCGTTTACTAAACTGTTTAATTTTGGGGATGAGTCGGACTAGATTTTCATTTAGATCATACAAGCTATGCTGCATGAATGGAGAACAGGGAAGTGGCAAAAGCACCACATATGGAATTCCTGAGTTTGCTGGAATGATAGGTTTACATTCTGACCGTCTCAGGCCTTCTACCTTAAGGAAAAAAGTTGAGTTCCAGGCAGCTTATTAGGGGGTGATCTTGTCGAGTTAAAAGACAAGAGTCTGCTCCATGTGGACGTTAAAGGTCCTGTGGCACTTCAGAAAAGCAGATGTTTGTCCTTTGCCAAAACATTCTTCTCTCTCACTGTGGTTCCTTGCCGCAGAGTGTCTTTGGGATTCCTATGTGTGCATAATTTCCAAACTGCTTCAGGATAAAAGCTACTAAATGAGTCAAATTGTGGCTGCTCCAGCACAGGCAAGTGCAGAGGATGCAGGCTGCTCTTGCCTCCTAGTGCACCCATAGCAAGAGGAGAGCCAAGTTCAGCTGCGGACCTTGGCAGATGCAAGTCAGGGCCGCTGGGTCAGGCTGCTAGCGGTGCTAGCAGCTCCAGAAAGAGCGGCACCTGCATGTGATGCATCTATTACCCGTTCTCCTGAACGCCAGCAGAACTGCACTACACCTTTTTGAGAGACGTAGAAAGGCCAGCTGCCCAGCATGCTCCCCTATTAGGGATGTAAACTATTAACTGGCTAACATTAGTCTTACCTGTTAACCCGTCTTCACTGTTACCCCCCGGGCTGGTCGGCCCACCGACCCCAGCAGCCTCGGGCTGGCCAGTTCGCCGACCCTAAAAGCCCCAGGTTGGCCGGCTGGCCAATCCCAGCTATGCTGGCCAGTCGGCCAAACCCAACCCCAGCCCCGGGCCATCTGGAGCAGCCCCAGCCCCTCTCCCTTTAATTGGTTAAATACGTAAATGATTAAAATGATATCGTTTAAACTGTTAACTTTTTAAATGCTATTTTACATCCCTATTACCTTTGGAGGAACTGCTAGTTGGACAGTGCCCCTTCTTCCCTTCCGCACCCTGGCTCAGCCTCTGTGGAGGCATAGCTGAGCCCTGCAGATGTAAGATCTTGTTGCTGAAGATAATGTCTGAATAGATTTCACACATTTCGCATTATTTCTGAAAAATAAATCCCTCCATGATACCCCTGTGCTGCATCCTGGTGAGGTGATGCCAATGACATTCTTCAGTCACACAAGATTCTGTCATGGAGCCACCGTCATTAGACAAGAAGCCCAGAAACAGAAGACTTTACAGATTACAGGTGTGGGAATCTAAGGTGAAAAGTGAATGGAGAGGTTGCTCACCCTGGAACTCACCGTCCTATTTCAAGACTACTTCTGAAACCTCCGGAGGCCAGTGCAGAGAATAAAAGGGTTTGGTATGCTACTAAACTATACAATATGTGACATGCAGATAAGAAAGGCTTCGGACAGCTCATAATTGTGCTGGTTCTGGGAAGGCTTCTATTTGGGACCCCTATTATGACAGCTTCCTACATATGTTTAGGATCACAGCTTGAGTCTCAGCCACCTTAACATGAACACATCAAAAGCACATCCAGCCACTGGATGAGGGATGGTACTCACAGGACAAATCTACCCTAGTGTTTAGTCACTAGGCTCCAAGCAGTCAGGCACAAGCAATCAGGTAAAAAGACTGAATGAACTGTTTCTGAACTAGCAAAGTGGTTTGCAAAGCTGGGATCCATCATGATCCCCATGACAAATAGACTGACTGACCTCTTAGAAAAAAATTATAATTGGAAAAGCCACAGGAGTATATTCATCCCTAGCATAAGCAGGTTCCATTCCATTTATTTCAATGCAGCAGAGGTTGCGTCCCAGTTCACCAGATGGTGATCCAGAGCAGTTTACTAACAGTGTGTCTCCAGAATCAGAGGGGATTTTCATATTGGTCCCAAATAAAATCTCTTCACTGGCATGAAATGGGAGAAATTGGTTGAAGATCTGTCAAAAAAAAAAAAAAAAGGAAGAAGAAATAGTAAGTTTAAAATTATGGTGAGAATGATCCATGCAGAATGATTACCACTATCATTAAAATATGCAACTCATTAATTTTAATTTAATGTAAATGTGTGTCTTTATGGACAAGAGGGCTGCAGCTGAATCCTATGTAAAATTTCCCTATTGCTGTGGGGACTTTCCCATCCTGTAGTTGGAGTCCCATCCTCTGTCTCTGTAATGCTGAAAGCCTCTAAAACAATGAAAGTAACTGAGATTGAATAGCAAACAACAAAAAGTTCAGAGTTGATCAGTGATGATGAGAGAACTCCAGCTGGGCTCTCTGGGGAGCAATAATCAAGAATTAAAGTCTTGATTTTTTTTAAGCTAACAAATGAAGCTTCTTTATTCTACTTAAATGGGATAAAAAAGGCCTATTAAATAGAGCTAACACTAGCACTAATCTTCAAGCCACATCCCTGCTGGCCCCTGAGAGAAAAAAAAGAGATTCTAAAAGCACAAAACTCACATAAAAAGAGAAGAGCGGACGATAACTCATACAACTATGAAAAGCTCAACATCAGAAATGGAAAGGAAGAAACAACCTGGTGCAGTGCAGCTTTCCTACCCTGTCCCCCAAATCCTTCAGAGTTCACACTCTGCAGAGAGCCTTGCAGGGTGTGAGAAGGGGTGGTCCCTGCCTTTTACTTCCAGGGATTTGATCTCCTGTGCACCCTGCTTCGTTGGGGGTTGTGTGTGTTTCTGTCAGGATTGATCTGAGCAGTGGGGTGGAAAGGGGTGGTGTGCCCATTCCTGGGCAGGCCTGAATATTGGCTCACTTTACTGTCACATTGGCAGCATCTTCTGTATGCTCATTTCCACCTAAATATTGCATAGGGCCTGATTTTGGCCCATAGTGTAAGTAGACCACCATCTACAATCAGTATGCTCTTCTGTGTTACTGAGCTACTCAGGCAGGGGGGAGAAAGGAGGAGGAGCATGAGTGAAGTTGTCTAAAAGATCCACCACTCTAGGGATTGTCCCAATCTTCTCCTGTGTGGATGCCAAGTAAATAATATATGTGTAGCTCTGTGGTAGGGAGGGGATTATTATTAAAATGAGAATTGAGGGTAAAATGTCTTCATTAATCTAGAACAGTGGTTCTCAACCAAGGGTCTGGGGCCTCCTGGGGGGCCACGAGCAGATTTCATGGTGGCTGCCAAGCAGGGACAGTGTTAGACTCACTGGGGCCCAGGGCAGAAAGCCTAACCCCTGCCATGCAGGGCTGAAGCCCGGAGCCCTGAGCCCCACCACCCAGGGCTGAGGCCCACCACCCAGGGCTGAGGCAGAAGCCTGAGCAACTTATCTTCACAGGGGCCCCTGTGGCGTGGGGCCCCAGGCAATTGACCGGCTTGCTACCCCCTAAAAATGGCCCTGGCTTTTATATGGAGAAAACAGTTGTTGTGGCACAGGTGGACTGTGGAGTTTTTATAGCATGTTGGGGGGTCCTCAGAAAGAAAAAGATTGAGGACCCCTGATCTAGAACACTGAAATAATGACGAACTTGCTCCCGGGGCCATGTTGTGCAGTAGTTGTGCCATATTCTTACGCTATCCCTCCCGCTGGTGTATTGAGCCAAGCAGGAATCTAGCCCGCAGCTCAGGATGAGGAGTTTGTTTTTTTTTCCCCCTCTTCATTGTTTTTTTATTTTCATGCACCTCTGCATTTCCACCCAGGATCGGAAAGTGCTGACGTACCATGAGAGAGGCTGTTACCATAGCCTATCCATAAACAGGAAACAGTGGAAATTTTCCAAAGCACTCCGGATCCTCCACAGCCTTGCACCCTTGTGTAGACATTTGCACCTTGCACAATAGGTGTAAAATGTTACCATTCTGTTTTGGGAGCATTTTACACCCACTTTGCACTGGTGTGAGAGACTACACAAGGTGCAAAGCAGTGAATCTCAGCCAAGAAGTTTAAACCATCTGGATAAGCTTCAGACAAGTCTCTGAACCTTAGGGCTTGTCTACACTGGTGAGCTTACAGCGGCACAGCTGTACTGATGCATCTGAACCTCTGTAAGTTTGCTTGTGTAGCCTCTCTGTGCCGACAGAAGAGAGCTCTCCTGTTGACATAATAAAACCACCTCTATGAGCGGCGGTAGCTATGTCAGCGGGAGAAGCTCTCTCACCGACATAGTGCTGTCCACACCGGCGCTTCTGTCAGTGTAACTTATGTCACTCATACTCCCGACTGACATAACTTGTACCAATAAAAGTGGTAGTGTAGATAAGCCCTTAGAATCTTCTAAGCTTCACCTGTTGCTACCAAAGCTGCTATTATTACAGAATAATGACCTACAATTATCAAAGAAACCCTCCCCTAACTAAAGCCAGTAGGAGTTTTGATGCTGATTTCAGTAACAACAGAATCAGGACCTTTGTCTGTGGGTATCAGAGTGTCCTTTTCAAAGACTCAAATCCAGTTCTTAATTTGTAATGAAAGAGGTGTCGGGGCGCGAGCAATTAGGTGTCAGGGCTCAAGCAATTTTTTTACTTTCCTAACTGATGCAGCAAGGCCAGAGGTGCCAGGGCTCTGAACTGCCAAACCTAGAGGTGCCAGGGCTCAACCCTGGCAAGCCCTGGCACAAATTAAGCACAGCCCAAACCTGATTTATATGATTAGAGATTGCACTCAACTAACATCACTGTATATTTTAAAAGAAAATTCCTCTTAATAGCCTGATTTTAAAGTTTTTTACAACATATTTATTATCTCATGCAGTGATGTTTTGTAACTTGGATTTTTTGGCTAACGAGTAGCTCATCTAATGAAAATAATGATTTTTTCATGCTGTACTACATGGTAATTTAAAGCATTTCAATTAAACAGACTGTCTCATTAGTGTGCCTTGTTAAAACAGTTGAATTTTCTTTGATACGGTCAGAAATATCTATCATGCTTTTGGGATGCAATCAAACTCTTCAATAAACTTGTTGCTAAAGACGGCTGCCTTGTACCATATACTTTCAGAGCAGTCAAATGACCTAGTTTAGAAGTGTTTGAAGCTATTTTATAATGTGGAATAAGAACAAATTAACCTTGTTTAACAAGTAGTTTTCAATTTGTGTTTCAACATTCCTCTAAGCTCTATCATCTCAGAGGCAGGTTATATAATATATATTTAATAACACTGGAAAGCACCCCTTAAATGATGTACAAGGCCCTTGGTGTGTGGCACTTCCATTGCCCTCAAAATGTATCTTATGCCACAGGGTTGGTTATTTGATTATTCTGTTGCTCTTTGTGTGTATTTAGGTGAGCAAGTCTAGGCACCATTCTTTTCCTCTTTGATTTGTTTGGCCATTTCTTCCAGGTTACAAAGGACTTATTTGAATTAATAAAAATGGCAAAGGTAATGTAGAAATGCTTGTAGCAGAAATAACTTTGTGTATCTGTAGCCAAGGTCAGTTGCACCTTCCTTGCAGTGGACTGCTATGATTGAGGCCAAATGTTTCTTTGTGCGTGAGGCCAGATCCTTCGCTGGTATAAATCAGTATAGCTCTATTGAAGGCGATGAAACGATGATTATTTACACCAGCTGAGGATGTGGTTTTCATTCACCGTGCTGTTATTTCCCCCTAACAATGTGTTTCGCGTGCAAAACCCCAACACAGTGCCAGGCTGTGTTAAGGTGGTGACATGCAGGAAGATGCTATAATATAGCCTTTTACTTTTGGAGTCTTTGGTTCAAATATAGTCAAATATACATCACAGGGGGAAATGAATTGTGTGATCTCATGTTAGTGATAGGATATTTTATCCGTGTCACAGCTTGATTGGTTTTAACTGCTGAAGAGAGATAATGGAGGGGTACAAGAGAACCATGGTTTGTGGTATCTTGCAAGTCAGAAGGGAGACATGCTGGCAGGCTCGAATGAGAAGTTTGCACAGACAAATAGACAATCTGCAATGTCTGCTATAACTAGTCTTTTCAGAAAACAGAACAAACAAACCCAAAGCTGAAAAGCCAATTCAAAGGGATCTGAATTTACATGTGTATTTATGATACTGGTAGATCAGGAGCCAGCTCATGTCAAGGTCCCCATGTCACAACTAAACACTGACAAATACATAGCTGGAATCAGTCTGGCTCACCTGTGTTACTAGGTTTCAGAGTAACAGCCGTGTTAGTCTGTATTCGCAAAAAGAAAAGGAGTACTTGTGGCACCTTAGAGACTAACCAATTTATCTGAGCATAAGCATAAGCTGTGTTACTAGTATCGTTAAAATAGGTATTAGGATTGTAAGAATGCATTTGGTGTTTAGACGTTATTGAATGCTAGCGAGTTGTTGCGTGCGTTAATCTCACTTATAATATCTGTATTCCACATTGTAAGATTATATTTAAGCATTTGTAGAGTAAGCCTCTGTGACTGTGTAACTCACCAGACATGAGAGAGACATTAACTAGTGTGAAATGCTGGTCTCCAACAGAAGGTGTTATGTCCTATCGGACAAGGAAGGCTCATTGACACCAGATGAACTATTATTGAACATTACAGAGGACAAAAGACTTTGTTGTTTACACACACACCCAGGAAGATTAGTGATGCAAGTGAAAGGCTTTGTCTACACTAGGAACTGAATAAAACTTTTGTCATTCAGAGGTGTTAAAAAACACACACACACACCCCAAAAGACAAAAGTTTTGTGGATGAAAAGCGCCTGTGGGAACGGCGCTTGTCAGCAGGAGTGCTCTCCCCTCCCACAAAGCTACCTCTGCAGGTTGGGGCATCAGCGGGGAGGACACGTTGCATTCCTGTGCTGTGATTGGCCTCTGAAAATGTACAGAACACACAACCAATTCGGGGTTTGTGCCCTGGTTTTTAACAGTCTGTTCTTGAGCCATGGCAGGACAACTTGACAGGGTTAAAACTCGATCACTCCCTGCACTTTCAGCAAACAGACCAAAAAAAAAAAAAAAAGGGCTGAGAAATCAC